GGACACAACATCTTTGTTGGTATGTGGTGCTGAGGATCGAACTCGGGCCGCACGCATGCCAGGCGAGCGCGCTACCGCTTGAGCCACATCCCCAGCCCCAACTGTAGAGAGAGTTCTTTATGAAGTAAAGTGAGATTCTATTTCAGGTTGAGAATTTTTTGTTTGTTATTTTTTTCTTTTTATTTATTTAGCTAACAAGTAGGGAACAGTTTTTCTTACAGATGTGTAAACTGTACTCAGCATTATTTTTTTGCCAGTATTTCCCAAGTTAAAAGAAGATGAAAAAAAAGCACAGCTTATTTAGATGGAAATCTAAAAGAGAAATAGGCCAGGTGCAGTGGCACATGCCTGTAATCGAAAGGCTTGGGAGACTGAGGCAGGAGGATTGCAAGTTCTAAGCCAGCCTCAGCAACTAGGCGAGGCCCTGGCTCAAAATAAAAAATGTAAAAGGGTTGGGGATGTGGCTCAGTGGCTAAGAGCCCCCTGGGTTCAATCCCTAGTACGGAAGGAAAAAAAAAAAAAAGAGAGAGAGAGAAATTTGGCATATGTCTAATCCCAGCTACTTGGGGAGGCTAAAGCAGGAAGATCACAAGTTCAAGGCCAGCTTGGTAATTTAGTGAGACCCTATGTCAAAATAAAATAAAAAGTCCTGGGGATATAGCTCATTGGAGTAATATTTGCCTCGCATCTGTCTCTGGATTAAACCCCCTGTACTGAAAAAACATAAAAAATAAAAAGAATAATGAATAAACACTGATATTTTAAGGGAGAACTTGAAGGACTAGGGGTAAGACTGCAACCCCTATAGAGTGTTTTTGGTAGCAAACCTTTAGGAACTTGCACTTCAGGACAATGTTGATCTCCTTGGAGATCTAGTGGCATGCTGTCGTATATGTGATATTTATGTATTTCTTCTAGGGACGGGACCAGATGGCAGAATTATCAAGAAGGACATTGACTCTTTTGTGCCTACTAAAGTTGCTCCTGTGAGTTATATTTGACTTTTTTCAGTTTGTCCCTGCAGAGTGTTTTGTCCTGCCTGTTAGACCATTTCATACAGTATGAATGAAATAATTTAATCAAAACTGCATTTTCTTCTAATATCAGTGGCTTAACAATTTGCATTTGGGTATTCATCCCTCCGCACTTGCCTTTTTTTTTTTTTTTTTCCTTTTTGATATTGGGGATTGAACTCCGGGGCTCTTTATCACTGAGCTATATACCCCGCCCTTTTTTTCAGTTTTGAGACAGGGTCTTACTAAGTTGACTATGGCCTCACTAAGTTGCTGAGACTGGCCTGTGGTCCTCCTGAGTTGCTGCAATTATAATCATGTACCACCATGACCAACTCAGCCCATTTTTAAAAACATATTTGCAAGTTGGTTGTCTAAGTTTATATGTGTTTAATGAGTCTACAGAAGGACTAAATCTATATGTCCAAATTCTGTTTTATTGGGTAGGATGTTAAGATAATCAACGAAAAATGAGGAAAATTATTTAGTTATTCAGTGTTCTCTTTATTTAATATTTTTTTAGTTGTAGTTAGTCACAATACCTTTATTTTTATTTATTCATTTTTATGTGATGCTGAGGATTGAACCCAGGGCCTTACACGTGTGAGGCATGTGCTTTACTGTTGAGCCATAATCCCGGCTCCAGATGTTCTCTTTAAAATGAAAGATTTAGCCTTGTTTTTCCTTAACATTGTTCAGGAAATTGACTAGTTTGTTTATATTCATCTCTTAATCCTTTTAATTTAAGAATGGTTTGATTTATTGAGGATAATTTTGCAAAAATAATATTATTTTGACATAAATTAGGCTCAAAGAAAAATGATACTTAAAACATGATTTCAGAATTCTAAGTAAAACCAGTTAATAATATCTCTTAAATCTAATTCAAGTCCCTTTTGCTTCCTGGGGATATAACTAGTTGTTCTACAAAACTTTTAGTTTTTACTTTGCCATCTGTAAAGAGTCACTGGTAGTGTACCAGGTATTTATGCTTAGATTGAGCCATAGTTACTGAGAGCTTTTTCTTTCCACCTACAGGCTCCAGCAGCTGCTGTGCCTCCGCCGAGTCCAGGAGTGGCACCCATTCCTACAGGTGTCTTCACAGATATCCCAATAAGCAACATTCGTCGAGTAAGAGCATTACCAAAATCTGGATCCAGAGCTGTTGGAAGCATATTTACTCTAGTTGTTTTGTTGTATTCATAATTTAAAACATTAACAGTCCTTTTTGTTTGGGAATATTAGATGAATAAGGAAAACTTGTTTGGTTAGTTGAATACTTGGGATAAAGAAATCACTGTGTATACATCTTCCAATTCTGATAATGCTTGGGGTTATCATTATGAGGTAAGCAGAATGAAGAGGCAAATAGATCTGAATTAGGGAAGATCTCCTCTCACTCAAGATAATTGATTTTTGAATCTCTGGTTTCAGGTTATTGCACAACGGTTAATGCAATCGAAACAAACCATACCTCATTATTACCTTTCTATTGATGTAAATATGGGAGAAGTTTTGTTGGTACGGAAAGAACTAAATAAGGTAAAACTTTCAGAAATTCCAAATCTATAAATTATAAAATATTTTTCTCCACTAAACAGTTACATTTTTGTCTGTGTATTTTATTACAGTATGCCAGTTGGTGATAAAAAAATGAAATATCATTTTAATTTTAACTTGCTGTCAATATCCTAGAGAATTTTCATTTTCTAACCCTTGATTAAAACTTGTCACTTAAAGTCAACTTTGCCAGACATATATTTTAGCCTAGCAAAGTCACTGGGATGTAATATTTGAGGGGTTTTTTTGGTAAGTAAGAAACATTATAGATATAATTTTAGGAAGCTATTAAAAGTTCTGACTCAGGGTTCTTTGAACAATTTAAGCAGTTATTATCTTTTGGAAACTCTGTTTACATAATTCTTCACTGCTTTGAAAGATTTATTTTTTTAAATATTTTTTTAAAGAGAGAGAATTTTTTAATATTTATTTTTCAATTTTTCCTGGACACATCTTTATTTTATTTTTATGCGGTGCTGAGAATCGAACCCAGCGCCCTGCGCATGCCAGGAGAGTGCATTACCGCTTGAGCCACATCCCCAGCCCTGAAAGATTTATTAACTTAGCAACACTATTAAACTTTGTAGAAGGTGGTCTTCAGTGCATGTGTGTTATATACACATTTATAAGTCATACTGCTTAGCTTGTATAATAGCTGTAATACATATGTGCTAGGTTTGCATAATTCTTTAAAAAACCTTTTCTAGATTTGCAGTTGATATTTATTTTTTTTTAAAATACCAGGGGCTGAGGTTGCAGCTTAGTGATAGAACACTAGCCTGGTGCATATGCAGCACTGGGTTTGATCCTCAGCACCACATAGAAATAAATAATAAGATAAAGGTATTTTGTCCATCTATAACTAAAAAAAATTTTTTTAAATACTGATAATTGGGCTTGGGATGTGGCTCAAGCGGTAGTGCGCTCACGTGGCATGCGTGTGGCCTGGGTTCCATCCTCAGCACAACATATAAACAAAGATGTTGTGTCTGCCGAAAACTAAAAAATAAATATTAAAAAAAAAATTCTCTCTCTCTTTACTCTCATTCTCTCTTAAAAAAATAAAATAAAATAAATAAATAAATACTGATAATTTTTGGCCATGATACTTAACCAGAAAAATTATTCCATGTTGTTATTGTGTGATGTGATCTATAGGTAGTTTCTGGGAAGAGAAGAGAGAACTTACAGTTTGATCTTTAGTATGAAAGGAGGATCAGTTTGTGAAACACAGATTGTCCTATCAAATGAAACAAAATAAAACCGTTGTTCAAGTGATTCCATTTAAAAATATTTTTAAAGAAATACTGAATTGCATGTCATTCTTCATACTAGTGTTGTAGACTAAATCCACATTTAAATCCACATACTGAACATTTCTATGTTCAGTATGCTTGTGTCTTTCTAAATACATTATATTCAGTAATAGGAGACAGTTTCAGCATTGTTTTGATCTATATTCATTATTTAGCTTTCAATATTGGATTAGGCTAAAAATTTTGTTTATGGATGTAATTATATGGCAAATTCTTGCTTATTAGTTTTTGTTTAAAAATTATGTTTAGTAAGAGCTAAGCTTTTTAAAACAAATGCAGACATTTATCATTAATAAAACCTATGGTTTAATATCAAAAAAGAAAGGAAAGAAACATTATATTTACTTTTTGTTTATGGTTAAGTATTATGCACTTACTTGGTGTTTAGGATTAGCATAAGGCACTTTTGGAAACATGATATAAGGCACAGTCTTTTATTATTATGAGTTCCTAATTTAATTGGGGCTAGAATATTTGTGAAAATATGGAAGGTTTTTTTTCCTTCTTCTTCTTTTTGGTGGTGCTGGGGACTGAACCCAGGGCATCATGAATGTTTTAGGCAAGTGTTCTATATCACTGAGCTATAGCCACAAGATTTTTGTCAAAGTAAAAATATTCATTTGTTGATCAGTCTCTCTCTTTTTGTTTTTTTCTACTGGGGATTTAACCCAGTGGCAGTTTACCACTGAACTACTACATCCTTTTTATTTTTTGTGATAGGGTCTTACTAAGTTGTTTAGGGCCTCGCTAAATTACTGAGGCTGGCTTTGAACTTGTGATCCTCCTGCCTCAGCTTTCTGAATTGCTGGGATTACAGGCATGAGCCACCATGCTGGACATGGATCAGTTTCTTTGTGGTAATACTCATCAATTGCTAAATTTTATTGTACAGGTTACTACAGGTAAAGGATCTATATAAATTTAAGTGTTATTGGAGTTTAGAGAAGGAGAAACCAATGAGAGTAGTTGGGGAATTCACAAAGGACATAACTTGGTTGAACCATGCAAAGTTCGAATTGTTTTTATTGGCAGAGATCTTGAAGTAAGTTCATGCTAATTAAAGAGTGCCTAAGGCTCTTAATTCTCCTTCCCCACTTTTTCTCCTTAGACTTGACACTATCTAATATATGTTTCATATATTTATTATTTATCCTCTTTGGAGCATAAGCTCCCTGAGAACAGAGTTTTTATGCATTTTGCCTACTGTTTCGTACCAGAGCTTCACTGTTAGTGCCCAGCATAGACTCTTAAATGTGAGATACATAGCTGAATGCATGAGTGAAACAGCGCCAGAGCTCTGCAGATGGCTATAGGAGTTAAAGATGATGGCAAGCTTTTTTGACAAGGTATTAAAGCTCTTTTTTCACAGATTTACTTGGAAATTAGGCAAATGTATGTACAATGTTTTTTTTTTTTTTAACTTTTATTTTATTTATTTATTGTATGTGGTGCTGAGGATTGAACCCAGCACCTCCCATGTGCCAAGCAAGCACTCTACTGCTGAGTCACAACCCTAGCCACTGTACGATGTATTTTATTCAAATTCTTTTGAACAGCTTTATTGAGTTATAATTCAGTTATAATTATAATGCCATACTATTCATCCATTAAAAATTTTTTTTAATTGTAAATGGACACGATATCTTTATTTTATTTATTTTTTTATGTGGTGTTGAGGATCAAATCCAGTGCCTCTCACATGCTAGGTAAGCACTCAACACTGAGCTACAACCCCAGGCCCCATTTTCACCCATTTAAAGTGTACAATTCAGTGGGTTTTAGTATATTCACAGAGTTGTACAACCATCACCACAGTAAGTTCTAGAACATTTTCCTCACCCCAGAAAGAATTCTTCCACCCTTTAAACCAAGTGTGGTTGTGTATACCTATAATCCCAGGTACATGGGAGACTGAAACAGAGGATTGCAAGATTGAGGCTAGCCTGTGCAGTTTAGCTAGACCCTATCTAAAATGAAAAGGGCTAGAGATGTAGCTCAGAGGTAGAATGCTCCTAGGTTAATCATTAGTAGGTAAATTAAAAAAGAGAGAGAGAAATCTTATACCCCATCAGACCTCCCATCATTCCAATCCTAAAAAACCACTCATCTACCTTTTTTTTAAAATAATTTTTTAGTTGTCAATGGACCTTTATTTTATTTATTTATTTGTGTGCAGTGCTAGAATCAAGCTCAGTGCCTCACACATGCTAGGCAAGTACTCTGCCATTGAGCTACATCCCCAATCCACTATTCTACTTTTTGTTTCTGTAGGTTGGTCTATTATGGATATTTCCTATAAATGGAATCATATGATATAGTTTTTTCTGAATGGCTTCTTTCATTTAAGATGTTTTCAGAGTTCATCCACAATGTAGCATGTATTAGTATTTTATTTTTTTAAACTGCTGAATAGTATTTTACTATAATGAGATATGTTACATTTTGTTGAGTTGTTCATCAATTGATGATGGACAACTCAACAAAATGTGACATGGATTGTTTCCTCTTTTTATCTATTGTGAATAATGTTGACATAAAATTTTTATGTACAGATTTTTGTGGGGACCTAAGTTTTCATTTGTTTTATTACATTTATGCCTAGGAGTGGAATTTCTGGATCATGTGACAACTCTATGTTTAACTTATGTGTGTGTGTTTATGTGTGATGCTGGATGAGCCCAGGGCCTTGTACATGCTAGGCAAGTACTCCTCCATTGAGCAACACTCCCTCCCAGCCCTTTGGTTACTTTTTGAGGAAGTGCCAGATTGTTTTCTGAAGTGGACTTGCCTTTTTATATTACCATCAACAATGTGTGATTGTACTAATTTCTTCATATCATTACTAATAATCATTACTAATACTTGATTATCTTTTTGAGTCATCCTAGTAAGTGTCAAGTGTTCATTGTGGTTTTAATTTGCATTTCCCTGGAGGCTAATCAGATTCAACAGCTTTTCACAAGTTGGCATTCTTAAATCTTCTTTGTAGAAATGTTTACTCAGTTAATTTACTTTTTTTCTTTAATAGGGTTATCTTTTTATTATTATACATATGATTTCTTCATTTACTCTGCAGATCCCTTACTGTAGATAAATGGTTGCTAAAGTTTTTTTTTTTTTTTTCCATTTTTTAGCTTTTAGTCTTGCTGTCTTGATGATGGGATCCTTTGAAGTGTAAACTTTTAATATGTCTATTTATCCAATTTCCCCCCCCCCTTTTGGCATTTTATCTGCTAAAAGCTCGATTCTTTTTTAAAATATTTATTTATTTAGTTGTAGTTGGACACAATATCTTTATTTTATTTATTTTTATGTGGTGCTGAGGATCGAACCCAGGGCCTTGCATGTGCTAGGTGAGTGTTCTACCGCTGAGCCATGATCCCAGCCCAAAAGCTCGGTTCTTGTCCTTAATGCTAATCCAATAACAAGAACACAGTTTTGAGAAAAAATGAATAAGAAATTTTATTGCTTTTCTAGCAAAGGAAAAACACTGGGGACTCCTGTCCCAAAGGCTGTGATTCTGCCCATCAGCAGGAACAGGAGGCTTTTAAAGAGGTGATTCAAAGGCTACATTCCTTGTGTTCTCTGTTGGAGTTGTAATTCACTTGTTAATTTGGAAGATAGTCATTTCTGAGATCTTCCTTTACTATCCCCAAAGTCTGGATAGTCTTTTCTATGGTGGGTGTATAGACTGAAGGAGAGATAACTCTGCCTAAGAAAGGAAGAAAGGTAATCCTGTTTCCCCTGAGGTTAGGGAATGGGAAAGATTAGGGAGGAGCAGGGAGAGAGAAAAAGAAATGTGTTGTATTAGTCTGGGTTCTGTAGAGGAACAGAATTAACAGGAAGTATAATTATAAAAAAGGGGACTTATTAGGTTGGCTTATGTGACCAAAAGCTAGATAGTCCATAGTTGCTGGCTGGAGAGCTGGAAATACCAGTAGGTGTGCATTCCAAGAGACTGAAGCCCCAGGACAAGAGAGATCTACAGTGCTACCCTAGTCCAAGACTGAAGGCTTCTGGAGAATCTCTGGCAGTTTTCTTGGAAGAGTGAAGAAGCGAGAGTTTGATATCCTCAGATGATCACTGTAGCAATCAAGAACCAATTCTAAAATGGAGTTGCATCTCAATAAGAATTGAGCTCCTTGCTTCCTTTTTCTTCAACTTTTATTCCATTCAAGCCATCATCCTATTTGGATAGTGCTGCCCAAGCTTAGGGAGGGTCTCTTTCAGTTGGCTATCTCACATGTTAGTCATTCCTAGACCTACCCTCACTGACACACCCAAAGTCCGTTAATCTTCACCATCTCTTAATCCAATCAAGTTGACAATTCAAATTAACCATTATATATCCATTTTAAAAATAAGTTGCAGTGGCTGAGAGCAAAGTTTATATTCAAAGCATAAAGTAGACTACTGTTAAAAAGTCGTTGTCTAAGGTTATGAAGATTCATACCTGTTTCCTTGTAAGAGTTTTATAGTTTTATTGTGTATTTCTGCACAAATATAAGTAGGAGTCAACTTCATTCTTTTGCATGTTTACATTCAGTTGTCCCAGCAACATTTGTTTGAAAAGATAATTCTTTCTCCATTGAATTGTCTTGGCATCCTTGTCAAAATCAATTGACCATACATGTGAGAGTTTGTTTCAAGATTCTTAAGTCTATTCCATTGATCTGAGTGTGTACCCTCTAGCCAATATCACAATCCTGATTACTGTAACTTTGTAGTAAGTTTTATGGGTAGAGAGGTAGATGCATACATACATACTTACATATGTACGCACATACTGGGGATTGAACCCAGGGTTGCTATACCACTGAGCTACATCCCCAGCCCTTTTTAAGTTGTTTAGGGCTTCACTAAGTTGCTGAGGCTAGCCTTGAACTTCTGATCCTCCTGACTCATCCTCCTGAGTTGCTGGGATTATAGGTATACACTACTATGCTGGCCTGCAGTAAGTTTTAAATGATGAAGTTAAGTCATCTTTGTTCTTTGTTCTTTCTCAAGATTGTTTTTTCTGGATATCTTGCCATTATGAATGAATTTTAGATTAGCTTGTAAATTTCTGCAACAAAGCCAGTTGAGATTTTGGTAAGGATTGCATTAAATTTGAGATCAATTTGGGCGTTGTTGCCATTTTAACAATATTGTCTTCCCATCCATGATTATGTGATGTTCTGGCATTTATTTAGGTATTCTTTTAATTTCTTCAGTCATTTAAGTAAATTTTAGAGAAGTTTTACATATTTTTTTTAATTTATTCCTAAATACTTTATTCTTTTTGGTGCTTATATAAATGGAATTGTTTTCTAAATTTTATTTTCAGATTGTACATTGCTACCACACAAACAAAAATAAAACTGAGTTTTATATATTGGTCCTTGTTCCTGCAACTGTGCTAAACATTATCTATTTAATGTTGAGAAAGGGACTAGGGGGATGAAAATATACAAGCAATCCAAGGTGGGAAGGATGAAATGAAACCAGAAGTTGGTTCTTCCATCTTGTTTAATGTCGGCCTTAACAGCTATACATTAATTTAAATATTTATTTTTTTAAATCTGAGGATTAAATCTATACATTAATCTAAGGATTTATTTGTTTTTTTATTGTACTAGGAATTGAATCCAGGGGTGCTCTGCCATTGAGCTACTTACTTCCCCAGCTATTTCTTTTTAAATTTGAGACAGGGTCTTGATAAATTGCCTAGGCTGACCTCAAATTTGCAGTCTTCCTGCCTCACCCTCCCCAGTAGCTGGGATTATAGGCCTGTACCACCACACCTGGCTCAATCAGAGTTATCTAATTTGTTTGAATATGGTTATTCATAGTATTTCTTATAATCCTTTATTTATATAAGGTAGATAGTAACATCTCCTGTTTCATTCCTGATTTTAAGAATTTGAGTCTTCTCTTTTTCTGTCAGCCAAACATTTGTCATTGTGGTTATCATTTGACTGATCTTTTCAAAGGATCAATTTTGATCTTGTTGAGATGAGTGAAAATTAAGACATATCATAATTTATGGGATGCATCTAACGCAGTACGTAACAGGAAATGAATAGCTGTTAAGGCCTACAAGATTGAAGAACCAACTTTTGGTTTCATTTCATCCTTCCCACTTTGGATCACTTGTATATTTTCATCCCCCTAGTTCCTTTCTCAACATTAGGTGTACAATCTCAGACGTTGGGGAGAGAACTTAAGAAAACGATCATAGTTTCTTGTCTTTACAGATGTTAGAAGGAAAAAGCAAAATTTCTGTCAATGACTTCATCATAAAAGCATCAGCTCTGGCTTGTTTAAAAGTTCCTGAAGCAAATTCTTCTTGGATGGACACAGTTATAAGACAGTAAGTATAACTAGA